CTCTTTTTCTTTACTATATTCTTCTTTTTCTTTCTTTTCTATTTTTCTTTCTATTTTTCCTTTACTTTCTATTTTTTCTTTTTTCTTTTGTTTACATTAGTTTTTATCTTTGCAACTGTAATTTTTAATAAAATTACTATGTAAAAAAAAGAACCATGGCCACAACTAATTCTCTGCCTTCAGACATATACAACAACTAAGCTCTAAAGCAGAAACTTTCTTTAAAGTTATCTATATGCTATGTCCAAACTTTCTCTGTTTAGGTTAATATGCAATGACTGCTTAGGAGAATAGAATAATAGATGACAACTTTGTACAGCAGCTAGAAAATTGGAGCAGAAAACTTTGACACCTATCTAATCACACTATACTTACCATGGACCTTGCTGGCATTAACATACTTAATTGCTGACAATGTCCTTGCTTCTTGGCCTTTCTGAAGCTGTTTACTCTCACTCTTTTTCCATTCACCTTTGATATTATGATTATTGGTAATGAAAGCTTCTATTCTGTCAGCAAGGTCTTCAGCTGCAATGACAGAGAATGGAGGTAAAAAATGGCATGGCATTTGTTTTTGCTGTGATTATTGATGGAGATGAATGTTAACATCACACCACATTACCCTCCAGGTTATTTATTCCCCAAGACAACTATGGAACCAAAGAGACTGAATGAGTTAGCATCTGGGTTTTCATCAGAGCAGGATCTCATTTAACACCCACATCTATTGGAGGATCAGGAAGTAGAGGCAGACGATTCAAATGGTGTATAAAATGGTGGCAGGTGTACAGCTGGAGCAATGAATAACACATTCACTTGACCAATTCAAAAAGAAAATCATGCTGGCCCAACTCCATCTCTCTACCCATGGACTATTGCCAAACTATACCACACCAACTCCAGGCAGCAATTGGCTCAAGAAGAGTACTTTGGATACTGTTGCTTAAAGTGCTCAAGGAGGTAAATCAACTAAATTGTCCATCAGGGACCATTTAAAGTATTAATTTCCTCCAGTAAGTTACAGACTGAATATTCCACTTGGAGCCATGTTTCAAAGCAATTAGCTACTGGCTAGCTTTACTGGAAAGGTATACGTGAATATTTTAATGCAAATGGGAGAAACCATCACTTCTGGTGGCGCTCCATGCTCGAGTTAGTAAAAGTTTTCAAAAACACTGGGTACATTATAGAAAGAAGAAGAGATTCACTGTATGCAATTATTACATAATATATCTTACATAGGCAAAAGAATTTCTCCAGCTTTTTTCCATCTGGCAAGATGTGCTTAATGTAAGAACTGAAAGTTCAGATCAGAATGAAGCACAGATTATTACAGAGAAACCACTATGATCTGATAGATAAAGACATGTAACTCTGATGTCACTGTGCCAAATGAAATACAATAAAATAAAATTCTTGGGAGGGATATACTGATTTTGTGGCCCAATGCCTGTATTCTAGTTTTTAGCAGCAGAGCACAACTCCACATTCTCTTCTAATATCACTGCTCTGTGACTCTTAGCTACTGAAATGTACATATTTCAGTGTGTGTGTTATATTCATATTCTGCAGTCCTTGAGTGATGAAAAGTTGATTATCTCTCTTTTAAGATTAGTGCCACTAAGTATTGAGGTATCTTAATCTTTGGGGGCTAAGAACACATTTGGAATTTTGAGAGTTTGTGGTGGATACAGAGATGTCATGGGAATTTGCTGATGAACAACATGGCATGGTGAATCCCTAAAGAATCATTTACTGAAAGGCAGGTTAGTCTTCCAGATGCTGTCTAGCATCTCAATGGGGTTTTTGTGGGGCCTCAAGACTTTTCAGCAAATAAATGCAATGTTATAAACTGGTGCATTGCTTTGCAGCTTAGCAACTTCTTTTTAATATCTTTCAAAAATCAGATGAGACAGTAAGCCTGGGGCCCATGAATCCTATATGACCTATCTCTGAGTTAACAAACAAGGACAGAATGATCTTTTAGTTTCTTACGGCAAAAATGACAGCACAGCACTGGCTATGTCAGATAGTGGATCCTTTTCACTTTTTCTATAGCTTCATATCCTCCTAGCCTGCTACAGTATATGGTGGAGCCTGGTCTTGCATAAAAGGAGGGAACATTGTTGTTTGAAACAAAATTAGTTGATTAGTTGGTTGCCCTTAAGAGGAGCTTTTCCCAACTTTAAGCCAGGTATATTTCAGAACAGTAACTTTTCTTTCTCTCCCAATGTCATTGAAAGTTTGCCACGAAAAAAAGAATTTTGCAACCAATAACCACTTTCATTACTTCTGTTAAGTAGTTTAAATGAATAGTGTGCAACTGCTATGTCAGACACAGCATTTTAAAATCCTGAGTGTGTGCAACTAAACAGCCACATTTTGCCTAATGGCAGGATTTTGCTTAGGCATTAATTGAATCTTCCTTTCTCCAGTCACGCTTAACAGAATTAACTCACACAAAAACACCAAATACACTTCAAGGCAACCACAAAATGCCCTGAAACAAGGAAAAGACTAGAAAATAGTTTCTATAAGGTAGAGCTGTAAACCAAGGGAAAATTTAATCAATGTTACAATAGACCGTTCATGTTTTCTAGGATTTTTCAGCTGTAGGCCATTGCTTTTGCCTCCACATATACTATAACCTGTTGTTTTTATAATGAGTAAAAAGGAGAAGAGAAGCAGAGGAGGAAGAGGAATGCTCTTGGACAGTCCCTCTCTGGTTCATTTAATTGTTTTCCACACTGAAGGTTAATAGTCATGTATACACGAATAGAAAAATCTGTATATTTATAGTATTCTAGCTCATAAAATTTATTTTTGTGTTGAGCCCATTACAATTGTTCCTTAATTACTGTAACATCAATAACAAAATACTCACACTTGCATTTTCTACCATCACCCTTCATCCCAAGAGGGCAGTTGCCACATTCAAAAGACCCCATGGTATTTGTGCAAGAGACACCAGGAAAACAAGCATTTGCTTCACATTCATTTATATCCTCTTGACAAGTAAGCCCTGTGGCAAAAATAAAGCTTAGGTTAATAAACATTAATAATTGCTGCTGTTGCTGCCTAATCCTTTGCTTAAATCTCCATACACATTAGGCAGGCTTCCCGGAAGTAGATTTCCTGAATATGTCGGTCATTTGTCATTAAACCCCCAACAGATTCACCTGATGTTGTAGTTGTCTAGTGACACCAGTGTATTGCTTCCCAAAATGTAAAACTGTGAATGTTAGCCACTCAAATAAAATTAATATTCTCCTAACACCGTGTTTCATTCTCACCCCTCCGGGTATATAACATTTGTGCTGGCAATGCTACTGCGAACTCTGCAATTGTAGGGCCCAGATTACTCCTCAGGTTTTAATATAAGTTTGATTTGAAAGGAAGAAAGGAACAGCTGACAAAGCTTTTCATGATGTGAGCTATACGTGACTGTGTGTGAACTACAGATCAAACACTTGTAAAAAAGACAGAAAGCAGAGACTGACTCAAAAGCTGGCATAGATTATTGCCAAGGAGCTTTTTAAAAAAATGACAACTTGGATGTCATTTGCTTCAGCAATATAAGACAGAGGATTGATTTTGCTCTTCTGTTATAAATACAAACAGAGCAAACTTTGCCATATAATATAAAGGTTTATTCATACAGCCAGGTTGTCCCATCAACAGTGTGAGCTAGCAACTGTTTTTGGATGGCAGGAATGGACAATAATGCCCTGTACTCATATCTCACACTGGCTACTTTGCAGGGGCAGTAATGCTTACTCAGTTGAATGACTGGTTACCATGGTCTCTAATATCTTCTAAAAGCACCTTCATCAATAGTTCTGCAGTAGTATGGTAGTTACAATAGTTGCCTGGTATAGAGAATATTTCTGGTTTCAGACAAGGCATACATATTTTTAATTACTGGTTTTTTTATCCCGCCTTTATTATTTTTATAAATAACTCAAGGTGGTGAACATACCTAGTACTACTTCCTCCTCCTATTTTCCCCACAACAACAACCTTGTGAGGTGAGCTGGGCTGAGAGAGAGTGACTTTTTTTTTTAAAGTCCAGTAATGTACTGTTTCATAATTACTTTCCCAGTAATTTGTATTTTTTAAACTATTTTTTTATTTTTAAAATAGTGAAGTTAAAAAAAGAAGTTGACAACACCAAAAAGTTGGTGTTGTGATTATACATGGAAGAAAACAACATGGAAGAAAACAACAACAAATTATAG